AAAAAAAGATATTTAACGTGTCAAAGTGTAAACATACGATATTTCTTTTATTAGTGTGAATGCATACTGTTTGTGATTATATTGTATGAAAAAAACTGTTGATTCATTTTTGGATAAAGAAAGTCTTTCAGATACATATGGATACGTACCCATAAAATTTACTTTTTCTGATTTGGATATAGATATTCTCTTCATCCACACCATACTCTATTGTCCAGATTTAATGGTATGCGACATGAATCATATCCTTATGTAAAGAAAAGCAAGAAATAATTGTTTCTCATATATTCACATTCTATTCAGCAGAGAACTAAAACAGCTTAATTTTTCATATATAGATCAGTTGAATATATAAGCAAATAAATCAAGTATTTTCCATGAAAACATTCTATAACTTAATCTTTCTGAAGACATCAAACATAGCTAAATCTCGTTGTATACAGTTTTATAAGAAAGTACAGACAATTTTGCTGATAACAAGTCCCTTCTTTTTGTAAACTTTATCGTTTTTCAACCTTTAAGATTTTATTAATAAAATCTTGATCAAAATAGATTACAAATCATCCTAACAATAAATTGATCTAACTCAGAATTTAGCGAATTTTATCGTAATGATAAAGTGAAGAAGACTTAAAATAATAACCATCTACATTAGTCGTACTAAAAATTAATTCATATTTTTTTTGACATTATTTATTAGTTTTGTTAATCCCCAGTAAGATTTTGTATCAAAGAAAGAATTTAAAACAAAAAAGCACTCAGTTGCTAAGAAAAAACAATAAAAGAAAAAAACTAAAAACAAATATTCATCAACTATTATCCAATATGAAGAAAGAAAGAAAAAACTTTTATTTTTTCTTTTTCTTTATAATTTTTCTGATGAATAATGATCATGAATAGTTTTTATTCTTGTATGATCATCATAAGAATTTTTCATATGTTGTTTAAGCATTTTTTCACTTTGATATTTAGAAAAAGCTTGTAATAATTCTGGACAATTTTGTTTTGCTGCTATATCAATAACACTCTCATTTTTATCATTTAACCAAGATGCATCACCTCCATGTCTTTTATCAAAAAAAAATTAAATTTTATTATTTTCTTATTTAATTTCTAATTAAAAAATATAAACTTACTTGAGAAGAATTCTTAATGGTTCAGCACCATCAAGTCCTAATAAACAACATTCATGTAATGCTGTATTACCTCGTCTACAAAACAAAACAAAATCAATATTTCTTAACATTTCGAATATTAATGAACAAAAAAAGAAAAAATACACAATCAATCTTTGATTTCAATTGATATTAAAATCTCGAGATATATATACAACTTACGGTCCTTTTTTATCTAATTTAGCTTTTCCATCTATAATAAGTGTTTCTAAACATTCATAATATCCATTACGTATAGCCAATTGTAGAATCGTATAACCTTCTTTATTTTTAATATTAACATCAGCTTTTTCTTTTATTAAACGTTGAACTTCTTTTAATATATCGATTTGATGTGATGATTTTTTATTATAATTATTATTATTTTTTTCAAATAATCGAATTAATGCATGAGTTGACTATTAATTATAATAGATAATTTAATAAGACAAAAAAAAAATTATAATAAAATATTTTATTCTTACACTCAATATTTTCTGTAATTTCTCTTGGATATTCATCTATGTAAAAAACAAAGTTTTTTTTTTCCAAAGAATATTTTTGCCTACTATCAGAATAAATTGTATTTGAATATGGTGAACTTCGTTCACTATTTATTGGATAATATTCATTTGTTTCATTAATAAAAAATGATGATTGTGAAAGATTTTCTGGTTTACGAAATACTGTTTGTATAGTTACTTGATATTCATTTTCATGTACAGTTGCATGAATCATATTACCCATACGTGGTTCACCTAAAAAAAATAATTAAATAATATATAAACTTTTTTAATATTAATATATAAGATATATATATAGAGAGAGAGAATTTATATTTTAAATAATTATTATTATTCATTATAACAAAATAAAAGTATTTGTTTTTTTTAAATATTAAAGATCTTTACCAATCAATGATTGAAAATCTGGTCGATTAACTGCATAAGTTTTTAAATGAGCACAAATATGATCTAATTGTTGTCGCCAATATCCTTTTCCTGGACTTGTAGATGTTAATATTGGACGATATTCTTTTAATTCTTTTTCATTTAATAATTTTTTATTTTGTGTTATAATTAAATCAATATCTTTTGCACTTGGATAATAAATTCCATATGTTTGTGTTGCAACTTCTTTTTTAATTGTTGAATATGATTGATGAGGATTAACTGAATTACGTGTTGATGTCTATAGAAAATAAGAATCTTTTTTTTTTGTTTTCTTTTTATTCTTTAATTTTAATATACACTAGCAATCATTGATGACGATGAAATATTCAAATCATTTTAAAGACGTGTATCAATAATACGTAATGGTCGTTCAAGAACACATCCACATGTTGAACAAAATTTTGCAAATGAATCATTATTAGTATGACATTTTGTACATTGTGTTGATGTAGATGCATGATCAGGATATGCACTACACCAATCACAAAAACGAGCATTAGGATTATTTAAACGAAAACATTTTGAGCATGTTATGATCATTGTATTTGTTTGTTTTGATATTGTTGGTATTGAAATTGAAGTTCGTTTTTCCTATTGAAATATAAATACGGAAAAAATAAATAAGATTTTTTTTTGTTTACTGGTGAAGTCGATGTTGGTATTAATACATTTTCACAAATATAACATGTTCGTAAATGTATTGAATTTGTTGATTTACAATGAGGACATAGAATTCTTGTCTAGAGAGGAACATTGAAATTTGATTAATTTTTTTGAAACCTGATTTTGAGAAGTTGGTCGCTGTTGTGGTTCTTTGGATACCGGTGTTTCACATACAACACATGTGTTAGAATTAAATAGAATAGTAGATTTACAATTTGTACATATATTAGTCTAATTAAAGAAAAATTATCCGTGTAAAATAAGATAACTACTATTCATTTGTAAAGTAATCAATACTGTCATGTAGAACAATACATGATCCGTCGAAGGATATACTTTTTATCAAATTTTACAGTTCTGAAAAGTCATATACCCCCCCCCCCCC